CCCCAAAACCCCAAAACCCCAAAACCCCAAAACCCCATAATCTTCCTTTTAATCTCAAAACAATCTTTAAAAATTAAAACTCATAAATGGGAAATTTATGCAGTATAGGCTATAGCAGAGATCCTGATGTGCTTAATGGAAAAATAAAAATCAAATCCTGACTTGCAACCCCTTAGCCAGGCTTGATCAAAACAAGAGAAATTACAATCGCTGAAAAATTAGTAAAGAAACACAATAATGCTTTAGTGACACCTAAACATTTTAAGAAACGCTCGAAATATTTGGAGTTTGAATGATCAAAAGAGAACAGTTATGACTTTACAATGGATTACGAACATGCTTCAAATGAGATTGGGACTAAGAGGATGAGAAAGAAAGAAAAGAAAAGGGATAAAAATAAAGATAATGAGTGCAAGGAGATAAAACAGATGGAAGAAGACAAAAATAAAGAGTAAAAATAATCTTTATTTTTAGAGAACATTTTATATTTCAAGATAAAGATATAATAAGCTCAGAAAATGATAGCTTCTTTAGTTCTATACTTCATGCTCTTTTGTCTATTTCAGATTTTTCTGAATATTTCCAAGAAAGCAACAAAATTATTTCAGGAACAGAAAAAAGACTCAATAAATAACTATTTTGTTGAAGATAAAAATAAGAGACAAAAATATTCAAAGAGGCTCTGAGAATTTATCTGTGCTTATTTTTCTGATAATCCAAGTCCAATTAAATCTGAAAATTTAAGATCTCTCTTTGATGGTGAGTTTCCTGTTTCACAAAAACACAAGCCTTTCAAATTATTGAAGTCACTTCTAAATATTTTGCAATATGAACATGATAACTCAAATTCAGCATTTTTATTTTGTGAATATAAGAATATTCAAGAAGCCTGGAACATATACATAAAAGATCACAATTCAATAGTAGATCAACTATTTGTAGGAATGTATGAAACATCATATAAATGAAATGAATGCTCTGACAGAAGAAAAGTCTACAAAGAATTCAAATTTATCTCATTAAAACAAGACCCCAATTCCAAAACCACATCCTTCCCTGACCTCCTCTGCCCTCCATCCCAAACACCCTCCAAAATCCTCTGCCTGGTCTGAAAAACCGTCAAAAACTGCCAAGTCCAATCCAAAATCGCCAAATACCCCAAATACCTCCTCCTGTCCCTCACCCCTCCCTCGCCCACCTACTCCTCCACATTCACCACCCCTACCCTCACCTACACCCTGATCACCTCCATCCTCACCCATCCAGCCCCAGTAGCCATCTGTAAGAGAGACTCCCATTACACTCTATTCTCCAATTCCTCTTCTGTTCCTGTAAAAGCTTCTGAAATGATAAGTTCAGATGCTTCTGTGCTGGTTTATCAAGGAGAAGGGACAGAGGAGTTAAAGTAAATTTTTAAATGTGTGCGGAATGTGCAGGGGTTTTGGGGTTTTGGGGTTTTGGGGTTTTGGGGTTTTGGGG